CCAGGTTTTGGTGGTGGGGGATAGCAGGAGTTCATGGCAAACTGTCTCATGTAGGTCTAGTGGTAGCAGAATGTCGGACGTCTTAACCACTTGGCCACCGCGGCCCGTCTCTACATGCATTTAATGTTCCAGAATTCATACGAAAATATTTTATATTATGTGTCCACCAGTTTAGAACTCTTAATTTCGTTGATATAACCGAATGTACACAAGAAACAATATAGTGAGGGTTAAAACAAACACAACAAAACACTTGTCTGTCGTCCTGAAATTTGATTTATTTCAGCGTTTGTGTGTACACATATTGAGTATGATGACTTTGGCATAGTTCTTCTGCCTGGTAGAGTGTCTGCTACTATACAATTAAGTATCATAGTAATTAATAAATGGTGCCCACAGGCTTCCTTCAACTAATTGATCAATAATAATTAAGGATAAAAGTTAACTGTTGATGAGGTGAATTCATTACTATAATGATGTAAAAATGACAAGGTATTTATAATATGTATTAAGATACCACAACTCTCTTAACTAAACTTTAACAATAACAAAACGTGTTGTAACAATCACACATACATTTACACACACATATGTAAGGGCATTCTTCAAATAAATATTGTAACAGAATATTCAAAAACTTGGCACATGGTCACGAGATGGTTAAACAGGTATACAAACTATTCACAAGTACTATTTAAGTGTGTATGTTACGAACATTTAAACCTTACTTCCCCTTGTTTCCATTGTACATGAAATAGGTATTAAAATGAACTCAAGTATCAATTTTCACAAATCGACATGTTCCCTGAAGAGAGCTAGTCATTTTCAGGAGTGAGGCACTTCAGATCTTGGGATGTATGTTAACCAACACATTTATCAATCAGTTATATTATCTTCTAGGTATCATTTGTTTTTATGGGATAGAAAATGTTTTGGAGTTGTCTCCCTTTCACCCTATAGCCTTATGGATCCCCATACCACTGCATTTTCCAGCATTACTACAGCTTTGGAAAATGATTTCTGAAAGCAAACTATACATTGTTGGACTTTTATAAAAAAAATCATAAATATGAAAGAAAGAAAAGAAAAGAAAAAAAATCAAAATCAGAAACATTCAGTGGGGTTGACCATGATTTTAACCTGATTGTTACACTGTCTCTAACTGACTGAGCTACCTAGTCAAATAAAATGCCCTGGCCCAACTGTGCTATAGAAAAAGAAATTAAGGGGGGCAGAGGCTATGTACATGTATATACGAAAAGCCATAGTGCAGTGGAACTGGGATCCATAAATCTTAAATACCCCACACAAGTATTTACATATGTGTGCACTGAGCACTTACCGGTAGTTATTATTATAACCTACAAAAGGCTCTTGTGAAATTAATTCTACTTCAGATATTTTAAGATTTTCTTCCATAAATAAGTATTTCTCATGACAAATATCAAAATTTGTCTTGACTAAAAACAGACACTTATCGTAGTATACAATCATCTTACTGTAAATATGATATTATATCTACAGTTGTATCAGGGCATACATTGTATCATACTACAGTAGCCTTGTATCATTGTATACAAAGTATTACAGTACAGTAGTGTTGTATCATTGTATACAATGTATTACTGTTCAGTAGTGTTGTATCATTGTATACAATGTATTACTGTACAGTAGTGTTGCATCATTGTATACAATGCATTACTGTACAATAGTGTTGTATCATTGTATACAATGTATTACTGTTCAGTAGTGTTGTATCATTGTATACAATGTATTACTGTTCAGTAGTGTTGCATCATTGTATACAATG